CAAAGGGCATTCTACAAGCACCGTACCTAAAGATCTGTTACAAAGCCCCACTCACAAGACCGATCTTGTTCTCAAATCGGTCAAATGTGACATAAGATTCACCTATTGGTGTATCTGCGGCCTGATGAGGATCACAGCAATTCGTCAACCCGCCCACACCTAGGAGAGCTATCAGTTGTAGTGTTCATGCTTCTGAAAAAACAAGGCACTCCACTGAATGGATGAGAGGTAGCTGACAGAAGCTAACTCCCCTCTCTGCAATGCATCATAATTAACAATAGGCTCCACGCCTCACTTCCCTTTACGCCCCACTGGTTTTCCACTGTGCCAAAGCAGAATTCACTGAGCATTTGGTTGTTGTGCCCAGAACCACAATAACAGATTTGAACTTGAAAAGAAAAACAAAAAGCTACAATAGCATAAAATGACATCTACCTGCTCACATCACAATATTTAAATGGGACACATTTAAAAAAAAAAAGTGACCCCCCCAGCTTCCCTTTTAGGGAGGCTCATTATCCCATCCAGATTGGAAGGTAGTCTCAGGTATTAACATTACTGTGTTAAGCTTTTAAGCAAGTCAGATGTTGTCAGACAGGTGCTTTTGGCAATTCATGCAGGAATACGAAATCAAGCACCAGACCTTTCTAAGTCTGTTCGGAAGCCCTGCATTTTCACAAGAACAGCTACAAATGAGAGGCCATTCAGACCATCTGGGTCATTTAGCAGACAGCAGCTAATTGACAGCCAACCGTGTCTTGGGTGAAGTCAGGGTATCAGCTACATGGCTGGGCAGTTTGTTCCAGACCCCCACAGTCCTTTTGAAAATGAAGTGCACTTCCACATCGTTTCTGCTTGTCCTCTGCCTCATGTTTCACCGTTCATTCTGAGGAAGTCCGCTGGTGTCAGAGCCTTTGCGGATTTTAAATACTTTAATCTGGGTTGTGCTACACTGCAACAGCACATGAGGCTGAGGGCCACTGAGCTCTGTGTCAGACTGGGACACGAGTGTGCTCTTCAGAATCCACAGGCCATGAAGGCTCTGCAGTTTAATTTAACCCACATGATCAGCTCATAAGCCACAATTCACCTAAACCTTTTCATCAAAGAGGAGAACTTCTCACTGTCCTCTTGCCTTTGCCAGATAGTAGAACTTCTTCTGCTGCAGCCCCACTGGAAAGTATGCAGATAAAAGAGATGCACAGAAATCTCCTGCAGGACTATTGCGTACAGACTTATTCTGGAATAAGAGCCGTTTAAAACAGGGAGTTGGTCAAAGCCAATAATTCTGTTAAATGATCACCTATACACAATTAAAACATTCACACTGCAGTGGCAAAAGCCAACAAAAACAGAAACACATTCAACAATTACTTGCACGTTACGTGTACAGCATACTATATAGCTTCAATCTGAAATACAGCAGCAAACCTAAAATGCACCAATTGAAAATACATGTCACTACAAAAACTACACACAGCAGAATACTGTTTCCACTTACCGTGCTGGAGCTGGTATCCTGCTGAACCAGCAGAGAACTGGAAATTCCTTTCAAGGATCCATTTAAATGCAGAAAGAGATCTTAAGACAGGCCTGAAGTAATCAATAGTGGGTTAAATTAATTGCATTTATATAATGCTTTACATATAGGATGGAATCCACTACATTCACCACTGAAGTACAGAGCCCACCTGAATGGCTGCCACACCAGGCAGACGTGAGAAATTGATTTTCCAACTGAATTAACGGGGGCCAAGTTGTACAAGCCTGAGGTGCAGTATTACCAGGACACTGGGGATACAATGCTTACTCTTAGAAAAAGAGGCTTTCTATCAATTTTGCCATACGTCCAAAAAGGGCTACTGAATTCTGTTCACACATTTTTCTGTTTTGCCATTCAGTTTTGGAACATTCACACTGGCAAACAGCTTGAGCAGAAATAATTAAAAATTATTCAAAAAGAATATACGTTAAATAAAATAAAGAAAAAGAATAAAGTAAGCTTAAAATGAACAAAACAATGCCACTTCGAGGTGGAGTTCAGTTTACGCCATTTTGTTTTAATGCATGAAATCAGCATCAAAACGTTTCAAAAGCTGTCCCAGTTCTTACACTTGCCATCAAAGAATGAATAATTAAAATAAAACATTTCTAGCACAACCCAAACTGAGGGAATCCAACTCCTGTACATATAGTATTTACACCTGCGGTCACAGAAAGCTTTCACCACCTGCTGTTCACATCCCCGCCTGGGATGTCTCCCTCTGCTGGCCAAACAGGCTCCAATACAACAACAGCAGGAGAAAGGCTGAAGACTTGGAGAAAATTGTTGTAATTACTGGTAACGAGTCAGATATGGATGAGTCCCATGTCGGTGCAGCTCTGGCAAACAGGTGAGAGGAGAGTGACTGCACTACTATTCCAGTTTATACAGTGTTTTCTACAGTAGCCCAGACCCTGCTGGAAAGTGTTGATGGGGAATCATTTCTCTAAACTACTGGTGGGGGAAAGTCCGCTTCACAGAGGCTGGACAGTTATGTTAAATAAGGAAACTTCCTTGAAGACAGGTCTGCATTGGATTGTCTTACACGGTGGCACCCTAGCTCTTCCTCTGTGGAGCCCGAGTGGCGCTCACAGCAGAGGCGCGAGCCGGCCTCAGGGCGAGTCTCCCCCGGCGCCGCGCCTCCGGAAGAGCAGCAGGCTTCGGTCCCAGGCCGTGCTGCCGAAAGCGCGCACCAGCTCCATGCCGCAGCGCCGCTCCAGGTGCTCCCGGGCCTGCCCGGCCACGTCCCCGCGGACGCCCAGCTCCTTGAAGTGCTCGAAGTCCCGCCGGCCCAGCCTGCGGAGGCGCCGCGCCGCCGCCCGGTAGCACTTCCAGGGCTGGGCCTCCAGCAGCAGGTGCTGGCAGAGGCGGGGGAGCCGGGACAGCAGCGCCAGCAGGGCCGGGTCGCCGTGGTTCAGGTGGACCCACATGGTCACCGCCAGGCACAGGCCCAGGTCAAAAGACGCGCGGCCGAAGCGCCCCAGGTACCCCCCCAGCTGCGCGCGGCAGGCCTGCTCCTGCGTGACGTCCAGCTGGGTGAAGGACACGGTCTCTGGGAAAGGGTTGCTCTGCTGAGCCCTCTGGATCAGGGCCTCGTCTAAATCACACCCCAGCAGGTGGAGCTCTCTGCTGGGCTGAGTCTCCCCAGGACTCCCGTCCTGCCCGAGGAGGTGCCTGTACAGCGCCACACTCAAATCCTGCAGTTTAAGACAGGAAAAAATCCCCACAATGCATTTCAGAGCTCTGCATTCAACTCAGTCAGGGTGTTTTAATCTAACAACAGCACACATTCTAAAACTACTGATGAGAGGCTGTACCGCATGTTCAGAGAAATGGAATAACTCAACATTTCCTTGCTGTTATTTAGTTTTAAGGACCTGCGTGATGATTTCCTTTCCTCCAACGTATTACATCAATTCGGTGTGCTTAAATATAAGAGAACACTGAAAAATATTGACATCACTCCTTTGGGTACATAAGAAATGCCAAATCTTCGCAGCTCTTCTGCAGACACGGGTCCTGTGCCGCGCCCACTAGAGAGAGCATCCTGAGTGCCTGAACTCACCCCGGAATTGCATCCCACGTCGAGAATCAAAATGGGCGCACTGTTGTCGGAGCTGTAGCCCAGTTCCTCAAGCAGATTGGCTGGTATTAAGCTCAAGCGGTTTTCCGGAGGATTGAACGTGTAGTAATTGATAAAATTCCCAAAACGAGCCGCTCCTGGATCATCTTGGATCACTTGCTCACACTCCTCTTTCACGCCGTCACCGGCGGGCGCGGCCATGTTTGTCCGGCTTTAAAACCTCTCCGGGTGGAAACACGCTGGAGCTGGAAAACAATAGAACCGCCCGCATCGGAAGAAAAAAAGGGGCTTCGGAAAAAGTGTGTAGTTACGCTTCTGCTCAATAAAATATAATAACCACTGATTGCGCATTTAATAATAAGAGCTGATAGACAGGAATGAAAATACACACGACACAGTTATGTGTTATGTTCTATGCATGTGTCACCAAGTGTTTTTCTCTTTTTTCTGTAAAACAAGAAAGTTTGACATGTCGTTTGGAACCAGGGATCAATTAGCAGCTATCAAACATGTCATGTCAGCCGAATAGCCTCTTCTAGTTTGTAACCTTTCCTATGTGCGTTGTTAATAATGACCCACCCATATACAGTCGCCTAATTAAAAGCAGAGTTACAGTGAAGTCTGGCATCGCGCCGCGGGGTGTGTCCTGCACCGTGTTGGTATTTCTGTATCTGAGCATTATGGACTGCTGAATAGTAGGAGACCGGTTATAACCTCAGGATATTCGCTTAGGAACTGTCTCAAAACAGGTACATATCAGGTAACGTTTATCGGAGCAAGATGTTAGTTTGCGCAACTAAAGCAGTTGTAACTGCTGTTTTCTTAAGATTTCTGAAGTCGTAAAACTGTACTTATTGAAAATACTGTACGGAACATTTATATTTACTGAATCTAGTTGCCTCCCCCTTGTTTCCCTCCCAGTAAAAACAAGAAATTGGGCTTGGTTAATGACATTGTTTTACTGTCCGCCGTTTGGACGCGTTTAAGGCAGAATTGTAAAATACATCTGGCAAGTTACCAAAATACTTCTACAGGTATGGACAAATTGCAATTCAGAACAATGCGCGGGATTTTATTTGCTTTATGGTTTATTAGAGGAAATTGTTTAAAGCATAAAGTGGTCTTGCGCAAACTGTTTTTTTTTTCAAACCTCAAAACCCTTAGTCAGGATCCATTTGGTATTTGGTGGGCATAACGCACAGCGCACAGGTAACCGCTTCTCTGCTTTAATTTATTACTTTCTAGAATTCTATATAACAAGTGTAGAAAATTTGGGCTGTGTAGTTTTGTTGTGTGGGGTTAAAGTTTACAAGCAGACGTGAAAGATAATACCGATCTCGAAGTTTCACTGTTGTTACATCTTCTATACCAGGATTAACTCAAGAATATCGATTATTTCTTAACTCAAGAATTTCGATTATACAGGAATTACCCACACAATACCACGAAATGGATAAACGTTTATGAAATGGGAATTTATCACTGGAGTTACCGCATGGACAAATCCCTCGTATGTACAAGTAATGCTGTTTTAGGAAGCTGTGAAGAAATTAAAATGCCTTGGTAAAGAAACAAAGACTTAACTGTTTAAAATTAATTTTGTATAGCAAAGAAAGCAACGCACCATCGCGACTTCAACAAACGACGTAATCAAGGTGAAACACTTCCATTCACATTCACAGCAATGAGCTAACACCAACGATATAAACGAATCAAGGAAGTGTGAACACGTAGAGGCGCGACCTACAGCAGGGCGAAGAGACGTGGGAAGTCAGATCTGAGGGGGTCTGATCAATTTTATTTCCGCAGACAGCGCCTGTCCAGGAATCCTGACCGCTGTCTTCAAGGCAATGGCGCAAAACCCGGAACCCGGCCGCCAGACTCTGAAAAGGAAGGCAAAATTTGCACCTCGAGTTCCGTACAGTAAGAACTCATCATCATTTCTGTTTCTTAATTATATCACAAGCTTGCCCTTTGACAGGAAGAGCAGCTTTGCGATAATTTTTTTTTTTTTATTTGGGAAGATCATTCTCAACGCAAAAGGGTGTGCTAATAAAAACATTCAGCTTTTCATAAAATAATATTCTCAACAGCAGAAACTCCGACCACAATTCATAGTATACCGGTCCCAAGGGGGCCACAGCACACTGCCTGGCATACCAGCCCTATATAGCACAAGTACAAGGGAAGGGGTGCAAAGGGTGACTCCGGCAGGTTGAGCCCGACAGCACTCACATCACTGGTGCAGGTGGGGGCTGTCATTTCCCAGGCAGCGCTGGTGGGCTTGGGTGGGTTGTAGAGGATTCGCCCCTCCTTCTCTGCTCCCACCACCTCGCTTAAGACATGATCCGAGACTCACGATGTGTCCCTGTGCCCCCAGATTAATTCCAGCTTGACAGGTGATTGCAAGCCGCCAAGTGCATGCTTATAGAGCTACTGATCCCCTTGCGTTTCAGGGCGCTGAAATAATCTTGAATAATATTTCATCATCCGACCACTCCTGCATGACTGACTCTGCCCTGTTGACAGGATACCAGAAGCTGCATAAGGCTGCCATGACCACCTGCAGCAAAGCCCCTGATGACCAGCCCTCCCTGGGCTACCTGTCCCCCCAAGAGGTGGTCTGCATCAACCAGTACATAGAGCTCATGGTTGTGCCACAGTCCAGGCCAGCCCCCCTGGACATGCTGGCGGCCGGTGAAAAACACGAAGGGTTAAAGACAGAGGAAGAAAGCACGGGGCTGAGCTCCATCGGGATAGAGGATTTCTTCAGTCCGAGGCCAGGGGAACAGCAGGCAGCTAAAATCGTGGTGGCGCTTGGCGTGGCAGGGGTTGGGAAGACCACTCTTGTCCACCAGCTTGTGCACGCCTGGGTGGCTGGCAAGATTTCCCGAAGGTTTGCCTTTGTGTTCCTGTTCCGATTCCAGGAGCTCAACCTGATGGAGGAAGAGCTCTCCCTCGCCAGACTAATAGCGGAGAAGCATAAGCACCTGAAGCAAGGCACGGTCAAAGAAATCCTGCAGAGACCCGTGTCTGTCTTACTCATATTTGATGGCTTAGACCAGTACAAGCACAGCCTGGATTTCAGCCTGCCCTGCTCCGACCCGGACAGGGCTGTTCCTATCCCCTCGCTGGTTGCCAGTCTGATGTCGGGGACCCTCCTGAGCGGAAGCTCCGTTCTCCTCACAGCAAGGCCTGCAGCCGACCTGAGTGGAGCCAAAGTCGATCGGTACGTGGAAGTCTTGGGGTTCCGCGATCTTCAGCGACGGGCCTACTTCGATCAGTTCTTCAAGGACACTCAGCTTGCAGCCAGAGCATTCCAGCAAGTGGAGAAGAGCGATGGCCTCTACACCTTGTGCTACAATCCCTTCTTCTGCTGGATGGCTTGCTCCGTATTGCAGAAGGAGACTGACGCTTCGGAGTGCCGCCTGGAGACCATAAGCCAGCTGCTCTCTAACTTTGTCGCCTGCTTGGCCCGAGGAGAAGGGGCTCCAAGAGACCTCTTCCTCAAACTGGGGAGGATGGCTTATCATGGGATGTGCAATGGGATCAGAGTTTTTCCTCTGGAACAGTTGGCAGCCTTTGAACTCCCGTCAGTTCCAGCCTCTCCGCTCCTGTCAGCATTCTTGCAGAGGGAAGCCGGTGGAGAGCATGCCGTGGTCACATTCCTCCATCCTGTAATCCAGGAGTTTTTGGTGGCTTGCTCCTGCTTCCTTGAACCATTGGGCAACATTGGAGAGGTACTGGAAAAACTGTCCTCCAGAGACAGGCAGGCAGAATTCTTAGATCTGTTCCTCGCTGGTCTTTCCTGTCCCTCGGTGAGAAAGCCCCTGGAGACACTCCTGGGAGAGTTTGAGAGCGAACCCCTCCAGAAGACCCTCAACTGGCTCAAGTTCTCCCCTCAACAAGCCCAGCGAAGCTGGTCCAGAGAGCAATACCTGCGCCATTTTCATTTGCTGTACGAAAGCCAGAGTGAGAGCTTGATCCAAGAGGTTTTCGGAAAGCCGGCGAGCTTGAGTGCCACGTACGCGAGAATCAGCCTGCTGGACAGCTCCGCCATTGCGTATATCGTGGGCCGCTGTGGGGACCTGGAGAATCTGCAGCTGAGCTATTCCCATCTGACCGAGAACGTGACCAGGCGGCTCCTGCAGGCGTTCAGCTGCTCTCAGAACATAAGGTGGGTGCCCCGTCCGCGGCGTCAGAAACAGCAGAAATTCCACAGTATTGTAGAACAGGTTCCTACTAATTACTAATTACTAATAGCAGGTATCCATACATTATACCTGGAACAAACCTATTAGGTAATAGCGGCCCTTGGGTCGAAAGATTAATCCTAGATCTGGACCAGGTAAGTAAATGAGCAGCAGGTGAGCGTAGCAGAACGGAAACAAACAGGAAACAAACACAGATCAAAGCCGGAGAGAGACAGCGAAGGTACAAGGCAATATCTAAAAGCCAAGAAACCAGGGAAGAAATCCAGGTGCACAGCTGAGTAGAACATGAGGGCGATCCCAAGCCAGAGTCGAGATAAAGCACAGACAAAAGTTGGAAGCTAAACAATAGCTCAGAGAGAAACTCTATAAAGGAGAAAGGCGCGGTGCTCGGTCAGACCTAAATAGCCTGCTTCAGCAGGAGACAGGGGAAGGCGATTACTCACAGGCGAAGCAAGCTCTCTGTCGTGACAGCGTTTCTGCTGCAGCCGGCCTGACGGACACATGGAAGGGGGGGTGACCGTCTGCCGCAGTAGGACTAGGATTCTCCACAGCGCTCCCCAGGGGTCTGGCCTGACGTTACAATAATGCATTAATAAAGCCATTAATCTATTACATGTCACCCTGCAACTTACAACTGGCAGCCCACTGAAGCTCAGCAGGTGTGAGCCTGGTCAGTACCTGGATGAGAGACCTCCTGGGAAAAACTAAGGTTGCTGCTGGAAGAGGTGTTAGTGGGGCCAGCAGGGGGAGCTCACCCTGCGGTCCATGTGGGTACTAATGCCCCAGTATAGTGACGGGGACACTATACTGTAAAACGAGCACCGTCTTTCGGATGAGACGTAAAACCGAGGTCCTGACTCTCTGTTTTCATTAAAAATCCCAGGGTGTTTCTTGAAAAGAGTAGGGGTGTAACCTGGCCAAATTTCCCATGCCTCCTAATAATCTCCCTCTATGAATTGGCTACATTACTTTGTTCTCCCCCTCCCCCTCCCCCCTCCAACGGCAGGCAGAGCGACGCGCCGGTTGGAGTATTCTCATTCGCATTTAATGGCAACGCCAGCTCAAAGATTTGGTTCAAACCACCAAATGGAGATGGGCGTGCCGACAAGCGGACCCTGTTGATGCGGGATTAACGCTAGGATGAGAGAGAAAGCCAGTAATCTATTATTGGATTTGTGGTCCGGTTATGTTTAGCAGAGGTTTTCTTAACAAAACACATCACTGACATCTGATTTGCCAAGAAACATTATATGAACATTAAACATTTTCTGTGTTTTTAATCATTCCCTGCAAATCGTCAGTGCTGCAGCAAAGTTGAGTACTCGTGCCCCATTGTGCCCTGTGTTCTGCAGGCTGTCGCAGTGCCAGATCACTGCGGAGTCCTGTGCCCACCTTGCTTCAGCTCTGCGCAGTGGCAAGACATCAGACCTGGACTTGACCTATAACAGCTCCCTGGGGGACCTGGGAGCCAAGCGGCTGAGTGTGGGACTGAAGGATCCAAACTGCAAGCTACGCACACTGCGGTAACACTGAGGCATACATTCTGCATGTGAATACTTCTTCATGCAGCAGAACACGTGGGCTGTGAGGAGGCTAGGACTGGGGGACTGATCTGCAAGCCGTTTAGGCAATACTCCACACCTTTGTGAAAAAATAACTTAGAAATGTTAAAATACTGTATGGAGATGCTGATTTTACATAGTTCTGAGCACTGGATGTTGTAGAGTCATTATTCTGAATTGGCTGCTGCCGTTGACAGTATTTCATGACAGTGTAAGAGTTTACTAAAAATTAAAGAAATGCAAGATTACAAATAACAGAGACATGGGGGCACGGTCTTTAGGTTTGCTGCCTCGCAACATTTGGGGACCCAGGAACTCCAGGTGCTCCGGTTTCCTACCACGGTCCAGAAACATGGGGGCAGCTTAATTGGCTTCTGGGAAAATGGGGCTTGGTGTAAGTGTGGGTGTCTGTGTCTGTGTACACTCTGTGATGGACTGGCGTCCCATCCAGGGTGTCATGGGAGCCGGTCCAGGCTCCCGCGAAGCGTAGTTCAGGACCCCATGCAGACGGTATAATCTGGAAATGACTGGAATAAGACTTCAAGGGAAATACAGCAGGAGCAGGAGGGGATGACAGACAGGGGGGGCGTGGCGGCTGTGATCTTGTGCTCAGGGGGCGTGGCACAGGCAAACAAGTCCTAAGGTAGTCCAAAGGGGAAACTGGGGCGCAGTCCAGGGGCCAGGAGCTGGGAGATCCAATCTAAGACAGGCAAGATTAAAACCGGAACGGGATCAGGAACAGGAACAGGGACAGTGAACCAGGAGGAATAAAACAGTAATGAGCCAAGGCGCTCCGAGCCCCGGACTCAGCAGGTCAGGATGCCGTGATGAAGCCTATGCCCTCAAGCCACGGACGTAGGGCGACTTGATGGTAGGCGGGCCTCCGGGCGTCCGTCGTCCAATGGAGAGCTGGGAATAGCAAGAGCGCCAAGCTTAAGTAAGGAGATAAAACAGGGGGCAGGTGCCTGTACCCAATTAAAATACAAAAGGGCCAGAGCGCCCTTAAGAGGAGGGATTACGAGCGTGACACAGGCCTTGTCCCAACTTGCAACCCTTGCATGCTGGGTTAGGCCCCTGCTCCTCCGTGACCCTGAGCCGGATAAAGCGATGAGAAAACGGAAGGAGGGATCAAGAATAACACGTTTGCTGCACATTTACTGGAATCCTGTAGCGTGTGTGTCCTGCGGTGGCTGACTCTCGGTGTGCGCCTCTAGGATGGGGAGCTGTGGCCTGACGGCGGAGAGCTGCGCGGACCTGGCGTCCGCTCTCGGCAGCGGCTCCTCGGAGCTGCGGGAGCTGGAGCTGAGGGGAAACGACCTGGAGGATGAGGGGCTGATCCGGCTGAGCGCGGGACTCCGGGATCCCGGCTGCAAACTCCAGTCACTGAGGTAGGCTTATACCCCAGGTGCTTATAAGCAGATCCGACGGACATATCAGAGAGCCAGAGATTTGAGTGCCTGCTCTGTTGCTGCAGCACCCTGTCTCTTCTTTATTCCAGTACTGTGCTCCGCACATGGTCTTGGATCCCACACATGCACCAGCTTGTAGACAACTCGCAGGCCAGGTCTGCCTGTAGAAAACTTGGAAAGCGTGGGAGTGGGTCTTGATTGGAGAAGAAAGCCAGGGGAATGGCTTGAATCCCACTCATGTTGCCATCCTTATGGCTTTCAGAGTTCAATACCCCCCTGGCAAGTGTTTGTTCCACGACAGTTGCAACCCTCCCTGGATGACTCAGTAACCACGGGCATCCTTCCCTTTTTGATTGCACAGCAACGTGGTGTGCCGGAAGTGAAAACTGCACAGCGGAAACGGAATTGCATGACTCCCTCTAGGGTTCCTCTAGAGAGGGCGTACCTCTCAAGTGCATGAAAAGTGGTGGAGGGTGGGGGTGGGGGCGGGGGCGGGGTGGCGTCAGAAGAACTCTGAGCAAGAATGCCAAGCGTCTCGCCTCCTGTGCCCGCGCAGGCTGGACATGTGCGAGCTGACGGGGGAGTGTGGGCAGGCCCTGGCCTCTGCCCTGCGCGCCAGCCACTCCGCCCTGCGCACGCTGCACCTGGAGAAGAACGAGCTGGGGGACACCGGGATGAAGTGTCTGACCACGGCGCTGGAGGACCCCAACTGCAAATTAGAGCACTTATTGTAAGGCATCCTCCAGCTGGGGGGGGGGAGGGGGAGGAGGCACGGGGCATCAAACTGGAGTCATCCCATCTTCATGGAAACTCAGCTGTGGGAGGATTTGTGCCTTTGCATGAGATGTATATGAAATCAGCCTTTAACCATGGCTTTTGTTGCTTTTGTTGTCAATTGCATCTGTTTCTATTTCAGTTTTTTTCATCAAATGACTGTTTTGTAAAGCCCTTGGAGATTATGATCTGAGACGAGAGAAACGTTACTGTATTCCTGAATCCAGCACGCAGCTGGTGTTTCATCTTCCTATTCACAAAACTGTGCAACTACTTCATGTGTTTCTATTACAAGGTTTCTATTACTGGTACAAGATATACGAATTCAAAGTATTTTGAATCACCTCGATACAGATTTGTCCCTACAATCTCGAACTGTCGCACAATGAAATGTTAACAAATGTTTTTGTCTTTGTGCGATTTGGAATTGTGCCTTTCCCCCTCCAAACACAAAGACTCCGCCAGACTCTGACACTTGCTGGTTTACAGAAGCGCCGGGCTGCTCAGCCGGTGGGCTGAGCGTTGTCCGTTTCCCTCTGCAGTCTGCACGACTGCTGTCTGACCACGGCGTGCTGTGAGGGGCTCGTCGCGGCGCTGCACTCGAAAGCATGCCGGCTGACGGAGCTGGACCTGTCCGTGAACGAGCTGCACGACTCCGGGATGTCCCAGCTGTGCGGCGCGCTCCGGCACCACAGCTGCAAGCTGGAGAAACTCAGGTCATTAGGTCCATTTTCTAACCACTTTCTAACCAAGGTCACACCACTTTGTTACCACTTTATCCCATACAGGGTCATGGGGGAGGCGGAGCCTATCCAGGCAGGGTACACCCTGGACAGAACGCCAGTCCATCGCAGGGCAGACACAAACACACACTCACACCAGGGCCAGTTTCCCAGTTGGCAATTAATCTGCAAGCACGTCTTTGGACTGTGGGAGAAAACCTGGAATAAACCCATGCGAACACAGGGAGAACATACCAACGTCACGCAGGAGGTAGCACCCCGGGAATTGACCCCAGGCCCCCAGTGCTGTGAGGCAGCGATACTAACCATGACCAGAAAGGCCAGATACAAATCTATGGGTTTCAAAAGAAGAGGGGCCATGTTGGGAAAATAACACATACGCTGGAGTTTCCTTCAAGATGAACAAGACTATTAATCATATATAAGCAAAGGCAGAAATGTCCAAAGTACAAGTAAGTTGAAAAAATCTATGCAGAAGTGGAACATCTCACTTTTAGTTTTATTTTCTTGTCTGTACTCATGCCTTGGAAATTCTATTTAATTTAATTGTCGTAATATTTTGCTCTCCAGCATAAGATAATCCCTAGTGGCTGTTCCACAAACGAGAGTTGGAGGCTGTAGTGGGAGGTCTGGGGAAACTGAAGTAGCAAGAGGGAAGCAGTGCTCTGAGGACGCGAGCTAACGGGTGAGCATTGGGCCCCCAGGCTGGCCCGGTGTGAGCTGACCAGCGGGTGCTGCGAGGAGCTGGCAGCGGTTCTGTGCTGCCGCAGCTCCAGGCTGAGAGAGCTGGAGCTGGGAGTGAACGAGCTGAAGGACGAGGGAGCGAAGGTGCTGTGGGAGGCCCTGAAGGATCCCCTCTGCAAACTGGAGCATCTGGGGTAAGGCAGGGGGGCTGCGGAGACGCCTGTTCCACGACAGTGCGGTCCTTTTCAGGATCTACCATACCAGCCGCAGGCTCCGGTGTGGACAGTCGTGCTGAAGGAGGAACGAAACATCATCTTCACACTGTTTTGACTCCGTGTGTGTGTCTAAACGGACTAAAAATCAGGTAATAAACCTGAGATGCACAAACTAACGGCAGCCGCTGGGTAACAGAAGCTCATAAATGCCAAAACAGATCCAACTACTATGCAATGAGAGCCTAATCCATTCTTTTGTAAGAAACCTGCACAGGATTTTCTGTTGTTTTAAGTTAAGTTCCCTTTATTGGCCATATACAATTTTTTGCATTAGGAATTTGACTTTTCATAAACCCCAGCTTGATCTCCATGAGACGCAGACAGGGAGAGAAGCTTGGGGTCAGAGCGCAGGGTCAGCCATTTACATGCCACCCCTAGAGCAGCTGGGGTTAAGGGCCTTCCTCAGGGGCCCAACAGAGTAGGATTCCTCTGCCAGCTGCAGGAGTCGAACCAGCAACCTTCCAGCTAAAGGCACAGCTCCTTAGCCATAGAGCCACCACAATGCCCGGGTGGGCTTTTAAGTGGTCTGGTAAGTGTTTTACCTCGATTGTTTGCGAATGCTAATTCATGCCAACATAAGAGTATGGATGCATTTCTCGATATCTCTTTTAACGAATGTCTGAAAGCCTTTACCTTTCCCGCTGTCTTTGCTCTTGTCAGCATGGAGCTGACCAACCTGACCGATGCCTGCGTGGGGGAGCTGTCCACAGCGCTCAGCCTCAACCGCTCCCTGACGTACATTGAGCTGAAGAACAACACCATGACGGACGCCTCCGTTCCCACCATCATCAAAATGATCCGGGACAGCCCCACCCTCCAGAAAATCAAGTGAGTGGGAGTGACACGCAGCGCCCTCTTCAGAATGCTGAACAAGGGGATGAAGGTCAGGCCAACATTAAAATCGCCCACTGCAGAGCCAATAGAGGAAGCTGATTGGTGGGTGGATTGGAAGACACCCATAGTCCCACAGTCCTCTCTAGCTGCCCAGAGAGCATTTAAATATTGAGATAGTACTGATGGTTGTGGGGGAGGGAGGGGAGCAATCTGTGCTGTTAATGAAACACAGTGCCATCTCTAACCCCTGTCTCCGTGTTTCCGCCACAGCGTACGCTACAACGAGTTCAGTGAAGAGGCACTAATGGAGATGGATAACTCTGGCTGTGATATAGAGTACTGAGAGTCTCTGGACCGAATGCCACAGATCCTACACTCACCAAATAAAAAAAAAAAGCTGTTATAATAATCATTTGTGCGCTTTAGCTGTGCTGTGCCGACAAGAGCTTTATGTGCCTTCACTGGGTGCCCAAGCAGAATGTAGGCAGCTTGGGAATGGCCAAGCCTGCACAAATTAAAAGAAGCATCTCTGAAAGACATGTTGGACGTCTTCAGATCCCCTGCTTGGCTGTCTACACCAGACCCAACTGTGACTCAAAAAGCCAAGCTGCCAGATGTCCTGGGTTTGCTTCGGCTCCATTCAGAGGCAGTTGGTCTTCCGCTGTCGCTATGTTTGCAAAATTGTGTGAATGTGTAATTTACCCTGTCCGTTTTGAAACCCATCTGATGAAACAAGTTGTAGGTTTCTTTCGGTAACTTAATTGCAACACTGCAGCCGAAACCAACACAGTTCTGTCCAGGACTGTGCCTCTCTTCTGCCTTTACTCTGCCACACTCTATAAGCAGTGCAGGCTGGTCCAGTGGTGACACAAGGCCAAGTGTCAACGCTCTGTCAAACTTACAGGAAGACCCCCTCAACACTCTGCAAGCAGATTGCAAACAAGACACTGCAGTGATCAGCCAGTTAGGATAGTGGGCATTGAGGAGAGAAAGCCGTTCAGTGTCTCACTGTCTGCTCAGACTTGTGGCAAAACCTCTGGCTTGCAAAAAGATTAGGACGATTCAGATCAAACTCGTAAGTTAAGCTTCTTCTTTGCAAAAACAGTACCATGACCTTCAGTGCTTCCTATGTGAAATCAGGCCTGTTTATTTTGGGATAAAATAAAATAAAAATAAAGTCTGAAAAGTGAAATGACTCCCTGTTTTGGAAACTCATTTTTGCCTTTGCAAAGCCTGCCTGGATCACCGTCATGAACTGAACATGAGTTAGTGTATATCAGGCAGTAAAACGTCACATTACGGATTGCAAATGGCTTTTAGTGATGCTTAAGATATTGAATGTATCAGTAGCGTGATAAATGTGATGATGGCCAACCTCTTCTGTAGTTTAAGTGAAAGTTAATAACATCTGACTACATCCTATGGGACATTTTTGACCATTGCCTGAGCCATAACTATTACATACTGTTAGGGGTATGTAATCATTTGTTAAAAATGTTAGAACATGATCAATAACATGCTACTAGTTATACAGATTCTGATAATATACAGTATAGACAGATACTTAAAGCAAAGTATTGCCCTTCACCCTAACATTATTTAATCCCAATCCATCTGTCTGTCATATGTATAAGAGACAATGCCAAATAACAAGGAAAGACATCTGAGCGTTCTGTTCTGTACATTCACACACAAGTTATTTCTCAGCTACTCTACTGTATATGCCTGTTAGCAGTGTGTATGTCCCTCCATCCACCTATTTTTTAATCTCCATCCAATTCAGAGGAGTGGAGTGGTAGCATTATGGCTAAGGATCTACACCTATAGCTTGAAGGTTGTTTGTTCAGATCCTGTAGAATCCTACTCCTTCGGACCCCTGAGTGAGGCCCTTAACCCCTTTATATATAGTCCTTAACTCCAGAGGTGCTGTATAAATGGCTGACCCCATGCTTTTCTTTACCTGTCTGTATGCCTGTGTGTCTCACGGAGAGCAAGCTGGGGTATGTGAAAAGACAAATTCCAAATGCAAGTAATTGTACTATATGGCTAATCTTATCTTATAATTCAGAGTCACTGCTGAAGCTGAAGCCTGTCCCAGCAAGTGAAGGGCTCAATGCAGGGTACAACAATCACATCAGGATGAGCAGATGGATCCCTAGGTCTGGAACTGAGCCCAGGGCTTCAGGACCATGAGCCAGCAGTGTTTAACCACCCATGTGTGTATGTGTAGCTCCTGACAGTATTGGCCAGTAGAGCTATATACATTTTCACCTGGGTGATACACTGAACACAAACCCAAGAAAAGAAGATCCAAGTCCACAGATTTAAGCTCCAACTAGCAGCTGCTAAATGCATATCGATTTCAATATGATTTTACATTCCAGTAGGCGGAATATAAGTATTAGTATAGGTAAACATCAGAACCAGTTGACAGAATCGTTCAGCCACGGACAGTCACCAATACTAATGGAGAACTGGCGACATCTTGTGGATCGTTTGTACAACTGAAAACCGGCCTTTTCATTGTTTCATTCAAACATGATCTACAATAGATACATTGTAATTAGTAATACGCTAAAGAAACAAAAAAACAGCATTTCATATATAGAATGACAGAGGGAGGGGGAAAAGGCAAGTGTGGCCCGTACGGGGATCGAACCCGCGACCTTGGCGTTATTAGCACCACGCTCTAACCAACTGAGCTAACCGGCCTTGCGTAAAGAGTGCCTTTAAGCAATGCTCAGAAGTATTTTTCACTAGCTGAATTATTACAATTTACATTACATTACTGGCTACGATTTACGTTACTAAATATTATTTTGATCAATTACACGTTTAACAAACTTCTAAAAGGGCGAAAATGCCCGCTAATTTTCCGATTGCGCCTTTTGGGTTCTCATTTAGACGGTTTGTCCCTTCAGACTCCCCTTAGTTCGACTCACGTGTCTGGGCGGCGCAACACAGCAGCCTGACATTGAAGAGAAGAACTACTTCGGAGTGCGCAGGTGAGGATCTTCAGTGCAATAATTTCGAGTTAGATCCTATGTTTTTTCCCCGATAACAACACCTCTCAACACGAGACCTCGGAATGCAGAGTTTACGATCATCTTTAGTTGAAACTAGCTAAAAGCAAAATCCCAACACGAACCGATTTACAGCTTTCAAACCACAAATAAATGCCAAACAGTATGCCGACAGTTGGAAACTGGCAAATACTTCTCCCTACTGTGATTTACAGTGTTTCGTGCAGGGCTCTTAAATGTTTCAGACATGATGTATACAGCCAGTACGAATAACGAAGCAGTAGTGCAATAGAACTATTACCAGCCCTGAAGCGTTTGACACAATATTGTGGTGATGGAAAAGGCGAAGTTCTGCTGTACCAACAGTGTAAAGAAACCTCATCAATATGCTTCACAGTTACGATACAGGGGGACAAGGGTTTGGATATTGTTTATTCCAACATACATTATATTCTAAAAGATTTTGTGTTAAAAGCCCCTTGGCTTTCAACCCAAACGAAACTTGAAATGTTTAATAACACCCAGGTAAAATTCCTGCTTTCATTGTTGTTGCCTGCTACGTTACAGGTTTCACAAGTGTGAAATACGCCTACACTAAACGTATCGTGCTTTACACGATCCCAAGTGAAATTTTATATCCATTATATATTATATATTTATTTATATGGTAGTGTATATGTATTGTGGCGTGTCTGGATCTGTTATTTTCGATGTGTATGTTGAGTGCTGTTTTTTTAGTTTTGTATGGTAATGCCAAAGACAGGTTTCCAAAAAGATTCCATCCTTTTGGAAGGACAAAAAAGGTATATCCATCATTCGGATTAGACGTTAAACCGAGATCCTGACTCTCTGTGGTCATTAAAAATCCCTGAGCGTTTCTCATAAAGAGTAGGGGTGTAACCAAATTCCCCACTGGCCCTTACCTGTCATGGCCTCTTAATTTTCCCCATCTCTGAACTGGCTCCATCACTCTGTTCTCCTCCCCACTGAGAGCTGGTGTGTGGTCAGCGTTCTGGAGCACTATGGCTGCTGTCGCATCATCCAGGTGGGGCTGCACATTGGTGGTGGTGGAGGGGAGTCCCCATTACCTGCAAAGCGCTTTGAGTGGAGTGTCTAGAAAAGCACCATAAAAGTGTAATGATTATTACTATATTATATCTTATTAGTAGTCCTCAAACTCGACGTTGTTTGTGTTACTTTTTGAAAGATAACGTGTCCTGACGAGGAGTCCTCTTCGTTGACGATTCTTGGACCCCCTGGATCGTGAGGAATCGGCAGTTCCGTTCTGCAGGGAATTACCAGGTAAAGCCCTGTGGGTCCGGCTGGTTCTGCTGCCTCAACTTTCAGCGTTATGTAACGGACTGTTTTTTTCAGTGGTTAATGTAAAGTTAAATTGGAAAAAAACGTCAGATATATTCAGCTTAGAAAGGTAACCAGTTCCATTAAAACATAATATACTGTGGTACTATTTGAGTACCTCTTTCCCAGGATACGCTTGGCTTGCGCTAAATGAACTGGAAAATGGACTGATCGATTTCCTACCAGAGTCTTCACTATGCCAGATGATATTCTTATCCCACCAGGTGGGACTACTTTTTGGAATAGTTTTAGGCCTCCCCCTCAAAAAAGTTTTAAAAAAGTAGCTGTTAAATACGTACAGCGTTTCGCACAATTTGTTGAATTATATACACCCTTTTAAACAATAGACACAACCTAGCAATGGATTTTCCGTGCCTCTGGGAAGCTGTACTGTAGACGAGACGCAGCTCCTCGCTTTGGTCAAACGGAAGTTTTACAGTAACAGTGATTTAATCGTTTACCTTGTTTTTCCTTTTCAAAATAAACCTCGCATTCACCTGACTTTCGCCGTTTGTATTGTGTCTCTCCCGCAGGCTGGTTGCCATGGTTTCTGGAAAGCGCCTAGCCGATGTGGGGTACCGCGTGTTCTCGGGCTCCATGATGCTGCTCTCGATTTATGCGGGGTACCTGTGCGCCTGGCGGGGCTACCGCTACTTTCAGCAGCAGAAACAGCTCAAACTGGCCGCAGAGAACCAGACCGATGAAACGCTGAAAGACTGACTGCGCCACCGAGCAGAAGAGTCTCCCATTACTGGAGGAATGTTCATGTAGAATAATGACCAGGCTATGTGGTATGTTTTTTTACCATAAAGCTGCTGTACTGTCTAGTCTTTGATTAATGGGATCCTACAACATGGTTGCACTAAAATAAAGATTGTGTACATATCCTTTTCTCTAAATGAAACAAATGGCCTTTTTTGATATTATGGTACATCACTAAGTGGTTGATAGAATTGAAATCTGTCATTTCTGTGCAAGAATATGACAGTCCAGTCCAACTCTAGATCAAGCATTGCACTTTAAAATAATTTTCTGTAAATGCTTCAACTGTTTTTTGTGGTTCCAAATCAACCTTTCTGTATACAAAATTACACAGCAATGAAAAAAAAAAATTCCGAGGTGGTGTGTAGGCATATTTATACCACTGCTATTGACTTAATTCTTCTTTCAAAGTCACTTAAAGCTTTGTCTCTCCAATAACCTAAAAGCTTTTTGAATACAAAAAGCACTTTTCCTTTTACCACCTAACTCTTAAGAGTTCATGTTGCACCTTTCATCCCAAAAGCTTCCTAAAGATCTACATATGAAGGATGAAACCATGATAATGGAGTTAAGAAATTTTGACAAATGAAGTTGGGGGGGAAATATGGAGGATGGACTGCTAAACAGTGAGATCGCTCATGACCATGTGAAAAGGACCTATTTAAAGGTCTCATCTGAACCACAGCACAGTGTGGTTGCCCTGTCGCCATACTGGGGAATTAGATTGTAAATTCCAGTCCAGAGGGAAGAGCACCACCTACTGGTCCACTTACAGTAGCAACCTGGTGTCACTCCAATGTCTCCCATCCCAAAACCGACCAGGCTTAGCCATGCTTGTTCACAATCGGACTACAAGGTGGTAAAGCAGTGGCACTGTGGCTAAGAATCTGCGCCTGTAGCTGGAAGTTTGCTGGTTCAAATCCTGCGGCTGGCCGAGGAATCCTACTCTGTTGGGCCCTGAGCGAGGCCCTTAACCCCCAACTGCTCCAAGGGTGCCATATAAATGGCTGACCCTGTGCTCTGACCCCAAGCTTCTCTCCCTGTCTGTGTGTCTCATGGAGAGCAAGCTGGGGTATGCGAAAAAAAATTCCTAATACAAGAAATTGTATATGGCCAATAAAGTGATCTTATCTAAAGGTGGTGTTGAAATCCACAATATCTATGATGCTATACATTGGGTCACATCTAAAGAACTTTTGCTATAGTTCAGGTTGCCACATAAAAGGATCTAGAAGCCGTGGAGAAAGCCTGTAGATTGATCCAGGGATTAGAAGGACATTGGAACGTCACTTTTTCCACACTTGGTAAGCATCAGCGGAGGGGCTGATTGGGCCTAAGGTTTTTAAAGCATCAAGGGTCATCACTAAAGTTGACCCTAGCAGGTACTTCGATTAATCTCAGCTAGCGAGGATACAGGGCTGGAACCTTAACCGATTCCCCTTTCAGTGCGATTGCTTGAAGAAGAAATACCCGGTAAAGGAAACCAGCCTGTTCCCTGCTTCTGCTCATTCCCACACCCTGGTCTTGGGAAGACCTGCTGCACACAGCTGAGTCACAGTCAGGCTGCTCAAGTGAATGAGAATTAACCGGGAAAACCTCATGAACCGGCTAGTCGGAGCAGCGGGCGTCGAGAGTCTTGACCGCTCTGGGATGCTTGGTGTGCAAACCGAGCCAGGAGCGAAGCACCGTTCTGCGACAGGGGGCACCGACGCCACGCGGCAGCCAGTCGGCCGGCGCAACCGCACAATGGCGGCAAGACCCCAGCCCCCGACACCGACCACACAGCAAAGAGCTCTCAGCCGTTGACAACAATCAAAGAACCTTTTAATATTAGCTTTCAATTTGGTCTCCAAATAAAAATTAATAAAACAATAAAAAAACAACAAACTCAAGTACACAACATTAAAACACAATGAGGATTGGGAATCCCGTCTTCTAACAAGCCCCAGTGGGTGGCCCGGGGTGTCGTCGTCCCCAGCGAACGGAGCAACGTCACTTGATTTTTCTGTGGTTTTGCTTTGTTTTATTTTTTGGTCTTCACTGCGATTGTCACTTCAGTGTCCACCTGTCTCCCCCTTGGAGACGCGGCTCTGCTCGTCTTTTCAGTCCTCCAGGGGGCTTAGTGTCCAGGGAAAAGGGGTGATGGAGGTGGGGAGGAGCAGCGGGGGGGGGGGCTCGTGGCTGGAGGGGACTCATTCTCAGGGTGCACCCACGCTCGTTGTGCGTGCGCGCACCTCGCCCCCTCCCTCCGCCATCCCTTAGTGGTCCTGCTGCCATGCCCCTGCGGCCAAGTGTCCATTCGTTCCGTTCTCCCCTTTGGCCGGGGGGGCACTGCGGGAGGCCGGCGGGGGCGTGTCGGTCTCCTCCTCCGAGCTGCTTTCGATGTCGCTACGGTCGTCCTTGGACACCTGTGTGCAGGGCAGGGAGTTACAATCATTGAGGCGGCATCTCAAACGGACTTAACAAGCCTTTGCAATTCTATCTCAAGCAGGCGACCTTCAAATCGAACCGGCACGCCCCCCCCCCCCACATTTAATTCCGGCATTTGGATTTTCTGAGCCTGAAATCTGCACTAGGACAAGGCAGCGCACGCATCGGTCTCCGCACATCACGACTGAGGCCGAGCGCAGGAGCAAGAAGAGTTAACGAGGCTATTATCTGGCACTCTCCTGAGAGCAAGAAATCTCCAGACAAGAGCCGGGGGTTTTTGTGCTTCCTTTAATTTGCGAAAACGTTTTATAATGGCAGTGTGTGGTGGTGGTGGGGGGGGCAGTTTAAATCCGTTACTCGGCAACGAGAAAGCAACACCGTTAAACATCTGGTCAAGCGCTGCCAGGAATTCAGAAGGCCGAAGAGTCTTCAAGCAGGCCACGCCAGTTCACCCACTGTAACAGGAATGAATAAGCTCAGGTTAAGCAGAGCTGACCACAACGAACCTGGGATGCCGGTGGTCTTTCTCCCCCGTGCCACAGGGGGAAGCCTTCAATGCAGGCTGATACCTGTAACCCCCCACCCCCCCTATATATATACACATACATTCATATTTCATACTTATCCCCCCAAAAATCCACTAGGTTGTTGTTTGACAATTCCAACAACTTACTGGGGTTCTTTCATCCAAGGCTTCTCAGCCAGGCTCTGCCCTTATCAACACGTTCGCTTGGCATCAAGTCAGTTCTTGCGCGAGTGGACGTGGCAGAAGCTCAAAGCAAGGGAGACAGATGTTCAAGCCCCCGTCTCCCAGTAACGCTCCCATCGTCAGATACAGTCACTAGAGCTGGAGGCCGGGCACTGAGCGCTCCTGGGCACGACGGGACCTGCGGCGCCACACACCACAGCAGCTGGCCGTGTTTTCTTTCCCCTCCAGGGTAAAATCATCGTTTTATCTTGACGAACAGACTGGTTTACAGATGACTGTTGTTGTAAGGAAGTCTGTGCTGACAATGACTGGGACTAGGAGACAACTTACAATTGCAGGACTGGAAGTCAGAGATTACTTCCTGGCAGTTTAGCATACATTTATTATAAATATGTCCATTTCCTAACATATTTATGGAGCATCTAAGTATGCAGACGAATGCTGGACTTCCAGAGCAGATCTCTAGGAGACACGAAGTCTCTCTGCTCGCTCTCTCTGGACGGATTTCCGTAATAAAAGTTTGTCATAACTAGACTGAACTGTGATGTGGCTTCTCACACCCCTGCATTGACTTAGAAGACCTCCAGCCCTCTATAACTTCCCTGGAGCGGTTCTGATCCCTGGTCCTGGAGAAACGCTGATCCCTTCTGGTTTTCAATTGAACTCCGCTCTTAACCAGATTGTTTTTTTGAGCTGTAAAAGCTGGACTGTCAACCCTGAACCAGGATCTGGGTCTCACACCTGGCCGGATTCAGGTCTGTGGGCTGCAAGTAAAGGGTCCTCAGTGGAGCACTGCTCCCCTTTATTGAGGAACCATCATTCCCACCTGTGTCTGGACACCACATCTCTGTCTCGGTTTAGACAGAAGATGTAGCAACAGCTTGAAAAGTAAGCTGAGGAAGGGAACAGACAGAGCTCTGATGGGTGAATTGCTCCTCAGCACTCCTGCAGCAGAGCTTTACTGAAAATGGAGACAGGGTGCCGAAAGGGGCTGTAAAGGTTTAAGATAATCAATCCCTTTGATTGAACATGAGTAAGAGCTAAGTTGGAACACAAGGGTTCCCCCGGACCAGGGAGGAGAACCAGCTTTCTACAGGACAGAATAATTCCACATGAAGAGGAAAGACAACAGAAAAAGCCGAAACTCACAGACAGGGGTGTTCATGGTCATGCCGAGTCTGATGACCACGATTTAACATTTGCACTGCTACTCGAAGAAATCAAATGCTTTCATTTAAGAAGTTTCCGTTAATTGTAACTATAATAAGCTTTACATGATTTTGTCAGCTATTTCTATTATTTAATTTAGATCAACACGCTCACTCAGTTTGGTATTGTCACCTGCCAATCAACTCGGCTCACTGCTACAGAGGTGCCAAGCAAGTATCAAACCAAAACATCCACCAAGGAGCCCCCCTGTTCCTGCAGTCGAGCTTGCACTGAGCAGAGGACTCAAGCAGCGGACACTGACAACACACCGCAAGGGTGCAGGATCCTGAAAAGCCACAAGGGGTCACTGCTGCATCACAAGCACAAGTAACAGGAAATGACTTCAACCCCAACTTGGTCCACTTCTCCACAGATCACTGAGCACAAAGCTGTGAGCAAAACTCTGGCCATGCATTAGGACTGGCTTATGATGGACCAGTGATATCAGGAAAAGCATTTTGGGCATCTTCCCTGTAGAGAAATAATAGTAGTCCATTCTCACAGTCACAAGAGCAAAAGTTTATCAAAGGTTTTTTAGTATTAAGCAGTCTGAAAGCCTAGGACTCCCTCCGGATGGGAACACTAGCCCCCTCCAGCAACGCAGGTACCTTTTCATACAGCTGGGTAGCAATTGTGTAAACTGGAAAATGTGTTTCAAAATCACTCACAGTGGCAATTGCAACATATGAAGCAAGAACAGAACCCCCCCCAAAATTCTCCACCTGGGAAATCCTGACCATTAATCTGCGCTGCCCCTGCAAACATGGGGCGATGTGAAACTGGGCCCCGCGAGAGAACAAGACCTTGTGTTGCAGAGCCATACGGGAGGAGAGCCGAGCCGTCCCGGGTACCGCGCCCCGCCACCAGTACGCAGGCAGGAGAGCGAGCGAGATCGCAGGCCCACTTACAGCAGAGACAGGCTTAGCAGCGGGCTACGCTGGGCCCCCAGGGGCACGGGGAGCGAGAGAGCGCATGAGCGACAGAGAGGAGGACAGGAGAGCTCTGACACAGGACAGGGAGAGAGAGGGAGGGGACCCTCACACCACCTGGGGGAGAAGAACAGCAAACGTCACTACAGGGAAGAGAGGGGGAGGGGTCAGACAGGGCAGGAGGAGAGAGACGCAAAGAACAGAAAACTTCAAAAAGCACAACCCGATCTCAGACAAGGAAACAAGTATTATTAGTACCACTAGGAGACAAGCATCAAGTCTGAATTCCTGAATACTGTATAGTATCGTATTTTTTTATTTTATAGATTGTGAAAATTTTAAAGCTTGAGAAACCCCAATAGCCTGGAAACAACTAGAAATGTCAGAATTCTGTGACGACAATAGCCTTACAGCTTTCAACTGCAATATAACAATTACTGCCAATGGGAGAGGAGGTTTATGGCATTTCATCAGATCATCTGATGGGGAAGCTGCAGGGTTTAATGCTTTTATAGAAAACGAGACTTATTTGCTTATGAAGCCACGCCTCATTTACATGAGAGGGGGAGGGGAGGCAGGCAAGAGAGTCTGCAAGAGGACAGCCACGCCTGGGACTGGGAGAGAGGAGGGACAGGCTCTGTTCTGTGCTGCCACAAGGCACAAGTCGGCCCCGACTGGACAGAGCTACAACACAGTGCCTCAGCGATGGGGGGGGTTCAGCACACGAGATTAATGGAGCCGTGTCTTGGAATGAGGCTTTGATGGCGTGAACAGCAGCATAGAATCTGAAATATCTGCATGAAGCAAGGAACACTGAAACCTCATTAAGAGGACAGTTTAAATCAGGAGTCAGGAGCCCATTGCTTCATTTCTCCCCCGCACGCACATCCAGGAAAGCAGCTCCTTGGAACGTTAACGACCGCCAACGTTAACTACAGAGCTGGCAGGACGCTCCCCCGAGCGCACCCGGCCAGCCCTGCTGATTGAGCCACCCAGGCTCTGGACAATAGAAGAGGAGGAGAAGGGGAAAAAACGGAGGAGACAGGGGAGAGGCAGGAGAAGGAGAAATCAGGAAAGTGGGAAGGTGAAGGGCACAGGGAACACCGAACTCACAGGGTGGGAAGAGCTCAGATCTTGTGAAAAGGCTTGGCGCCAGCCTGTGTGGTTCGGAAGCAGGACACGCCCCTCAAAAATCACCCCTTGGGAGCATGAATGTCAAAACGCTTGCTCAAACAAAGTTCTGCCTTATTGCCACCTTCAAGAGTTACCTTGATACTAAAAGCCATTACAATTTATTAATTCTACTTATTGCTTCCTTATACTAACTGTTTCCCCAAACCTGTCAGATGCTCAAGAATCAATTTCTGTTGCAGCAGAAGACGTGGCAAAACCAGCGAGCCAGAACTAGGCTTTGCTAGCTGGAGCCACAGGCCTCATTCACTAAACAGCAGTACTGTGTTGTGCACATGGCAGGCGCCCTGGTCAAGAGCCGAGCACAGCTCCTGGACTCACTCAACAGCAGCACTGCAGGCCTGACTCACGGATCAGTCACCGGGGCCCATGCGCTAACACACACAAAACACATCAGCAGAGAGCAGACAAGGGGACACGAAACACACAAACAGGATTCGCTAAACCGGCGGTCTCCAGCCTCAAATCCAAGTACTTTTCAGGCAGGAAACGGAATAGCATGCAACTCTCATCTAGGCACTTGGAAAGCCAGAGAATTTATAAAAGCGAACATCTGCGTCATGTCGGATGCATTTGTGCAAGATGATAATACTCTTGCCACCTGTTTTTTGGAATTAACATTTACAAGTCCTGCAGTATTTGTGTTTTAGGGGTTCACTTGGACACATTTAAACCAGTGATTTTCTGTTCACTTCTGATTTAATGTAATTATATCCAACATGCACATTACACGTTGGGTTCCCCTTAATGATGCACATCAGCAGCTAAGTGGATAAGAGAGAAACTACTGATTTTTGTGGCTTCTAAATACCAGTTGACATTCCCTATCTTCTAGGTGAAGGAGGCCCTGTGTGCTCGATCACCTTGAATTTAATGGATCGAGCATTATCGGCTGTCTCCACTTTCGCCGTGACTACATCATGCAGGATAGCCAACCCTGATCCAGGACAGCCACAGCCCAGCCGATCTTGTACAGGTCACGTCAATGGCGCACACCTTTCATTAGTTCATTTGAGGCAGAAAAGGGCCTGCAGCTGTCCTTGAGTGTTACTGGGTGTTATTTTCAATGCAGATGAATCACTTCATGAACAATGCATCAGCAGTTAGTTGCCAAAACAAAACAAATATATTGAAATGATTAAAACACGATGGGTGAAGTAAAAACTTTAAAATCAAGATGATTTTTATGATCCGCCACACACTGTGCCCCTGCAGGATCGGGGCTGGCCAGTGCTGGCAGGATGCACTGGTCAAGAGCCTACACCAAGAGACGACTGGCCGGCAGTGGCCGGGAGAGGCGCAGGGGACTCACCTTGCCGCGGACCATGGCCTTGAAGGCAATGCGCATGATGAGGTAGGACCAGATGACGTGCAGCACCTGCAGCACCAGCAGCAGGATGTTGAAGAGCCACCAGGAGGGGTAGGGCCCGATGATCTCCCAGCTCTCAAACATGGTGGTGTTCAGCACCCTGCAAACATGAAACCACTCCACTTCACTAGCTGTGGGCCCTCGCACCTGGGTCCACACATGCCAGACACATAGTGCCACCCCCCCCATTACTTCCTGTCATTAAGCCCTTGCGTATCCATTAAGAATTTACAGTCACGCTAAGTGGAAAACACCATTAAGTCACACAGTGTCACATGGCTCTTTCACAACGCTAATTCAACAATGCTTGCAGCAAGTTCAGGAGCTTCTTCCCAGTTTTGCAACATGATTTCTCCTTTTTTTAAAGGAAAGAGTGCTGTGCATAACTCTCTGCTCTCACTAGATGGATATTTAATCCATCTTCTACAAAATCAAGAGAGAAAATAGAAAGCTGTACCCCTTCACCTGACAAGGGCTACTTTTGACTTCTGGGGGCTCACCAATCTCTGCCTTAAATATTCACTTGCTCATTACTCATTGAGATCAATTAAAATAATGAAGGAGACAAGTGTAACAGAGTACTAAAACAGCTGATTAGAGGGACCACAGAGTTAAATGTCTTAATATAGACTGTGACACACACAGAATGTTATACTGCAACTCTTGGAGCAGAGGTCTAGGCAAATCTGTGCTGCACAATACTCTCAAGCCCATTAACATACAGTATGTAAAAAATTCCCAGACGCTGTTTTTTGATAGAACTGTTACATGAAAGACAGACAGCTCCGATACGATCAGAGATCTCATCAGAGCATGTGTAAAGGGATAGGTAGCAAGGGAGCTAGTGACGTAACCCAGGTGAAGATGATACACAGTGCTTTAATAATAAGGAAAGCACAAGACACCACAGCTATGTTCCACCATTCTTTTCTAACCTTCTTTCCCCAAAGACTGTGTAACAGAGCACAGTGTCACCAATCCCCTAGGAAGGAGATGGATTTCGGTGATCAATAACGACCTCATCCATGACAGACACTGAATACAGCTGCTCATATTACAACTGTGCCACTGGTGGCTCGTCTCTGCTCATCTGAGGCCAAGATCTCCCCACAGAGATGCGTTCTGATGCTGTCCTGGGTCAGGACGATTCCAAACACATTTCTCATGCAGATTATCACAGCTAATCTGAGGCTGTTGTTCCTCACCACACTCTGAAGTTTGCTTTCAGATCACCTGCCAACACAAAAATAAGAATCTCCAAGACTGGCGCTGCCACCAGACGGCCAATGCCACCCATCTCCGACAACCTCTCTTCCCGATCAAAAGCCTCTCCCCTCCCCCACCCTCAAATAAGGTCTGGGAATCTGAGCGACAGAGCTCTAAGGGACGGAGGTGACCTGGCTCGTGCTGCAAGCCATTGCTCAGAAGACAAGCGTTTTCACACTCGGAAATATTTCCACAGCAAGCAGTACAACACGAATCTAATCAGGTACACGATCTCAAGACACCGAGGCACCTCACAGCGCAGTGGGTTACTTTTTAAAAAAGAACGAGTCTACGTGACTTTGAAAATCCCACAAGCAGCACGTAACCCATCTGAGATATAACACGCTCTGACATCTTCCCATCTGCCGATTAAGAACAGGAAATCTCCTTTGGGACTCTCATCCGAGTTCAGCTCCTCTGTGGCTGCCATGCACACGGCAGCGCGGTTTTGTCACGAAACGGAGCTCGGCACGCGTACAGAGGAGAATGCAGCACCAACTGGAGGGATAAGTTTCCGAACAAACGCACCGCAAGAGAATTTCTTCTTCTCACCGATCCTCCAGAGCACACGACGAGCTGCGCAGCAGTTTACAATGAGAGAGAAGCACAGGACACCAAACCCGGGCCGAAAGTAACCAAAGGGCGGAGCGGTGGCTCTTTGGCTAAGGATCTGCGCCTGTGGCTGGAGAGTTGCTTGTTCAAATCCCACAGCCGGCAGAGGAATCCTACTCTGTTGGGCCCCTGAGCGAGGCCCTTAACCCCAGCTGCTCCAGGGGCGCTGTATAAATGGCTGACCCTGTGCTCTGACCCCAAACTTCCCTAACCTGGTACCTGGTGGGACCAGTTAGAAGCAAAAATAAACCGCAACAGAGGTGGGGCCATGCCTTCCTGCTGCTCTGAAATGATTACCACTCCACCCCCTCTTTCCAAACAGATCTGCGGAGACTGTGCGCATGCGTGTGAGTGAACAGCCAGCAAGAGGCGAGAGAGAGATTAGCGCAGAAAAACAACGTCTGGGCTTAAATTAAAGGATAATTCTTGCAAAGATTATTCTCTACAGTCAATGTGATTCAGAGATTCTCTACAATGTGAACAGCTTTCTTAATAAGGACTTGAGAAACCCAGAAACGAAAAGGTTTTTCATAGTTATAGTATCACAGGCAGAAGCAAATGAAATGTAGTTATATCCTCGTTAGGGCAATTTCTTTCACCTCTGTAAACTTAGAGTTGGCAGATCACAGGGGTTTGAATACTTATGTAAGCAGCATATTTTAGATATCTGCTGACAAATAACGCAATTTCACTTTTGGAAAAAAAAATCTTGAGCATGTTTGAGCATGCGAGCTTGCAATAAAAATGCTGATGGGAAAAAGATGTTTAAGTATCATTTGTAACTCAGCAACAAATGAAAACTCTTAAAGGATCTGAACACTTTTGCCAGGCACTGTATTGTTATGACTTCTTATAATAATGAGTCTCATCAGTCCCCCCCCTTGAGGAACTCCTGATATTTTAACATTCTGCTGGATAATTGGTTTTATCCTGGGAATACGAGAATATCAGAACAAGTGACTGGAAAAAGAGAAATAGAAAGTGCCTCCCGGGTCTGGTACTCACCAGAGAGGGTAAATTATGAGCCTCGTGCCCATGAAGACGGCCCCAAACAGCGCGAACAGTGAGTCACACAGGCGCTGGTACTTGGCATAATTTGCCAACTTGGCTGCCTGGCAGAGGGAAGAGGTCAGGGAGATGGGCAGGGCGAGGGAGAAATGGGAATGGAGGAGAACCCCCCAGGACACAGGTCAGAGGAGGAGGAGGAGGCAGGTTGACAACAGGGAAAGAGGACGAACAGGGGGATAGGGAGGCAGAGATAACAAGAATGGACGTTAAGACCACTTTTCATTCCCAGGGCCTGGAATATCATCACTAGGGCAAGAGGGACATTGGGGACTGACTTAACTTCAAATAAGAAAGCTGAGCAGGGCTGCAGATATTTTCAGAAAATATTTTCTTCTACAAACACTAAGCCTCACCATGTTAAAACATTTCCTAAACTCAGAGAAACACATCATAGCAAAAACTTATTTCCTGCACTATAGCGTGAATATGGGTCTTCGGCAGGAACATCTGATTCAGGCCCTGGAAGATTCATGAAGGCAGGCTAACGGATTAACCATTGTGTCAGCTCCCTTTTGTGCTTCTCATTGTGTTGCCTTGGGTTAGTGGCCACACAGGCCAGGGCTCTGTGACTTTCCTGCATTTCTAATTTTCCATCTACACTGCGTCTCCTCTTGGGAAAGGGGAAACTCACGGATACCAATAGTGAGAGGATCTTCTCCAATAAGGAAAGTGTGCACCGGAAATGGCTGATGGTCTATTCTACAGAACCTGCTCTTGGTGTATTAGTGAAAGTCAGACAAAGGCTTTACCCTTGCTTGAGAGCACAGTGACTCCTGTTAGGGGGGAGGTGTTAATTTTGAGCCAGTCAGTCACAATCGCAGACTGCGACTTTGCTCTACTCGATCTTCAGCCCAGCACATAAACCCAACGTCTGAATCTATCACTTATTGAACGTCAGGGTGAAACTAACCCATCCCACATGTCCATAGCCTGCTACAACCCTTGCCCTCAGTCCACACCATGGTACAATTTCACATTTCACTTAAGGGTCACTGGCTCCACAGCAGGCACTTGCTTAACTAAGAATAAGCTGGAACAAAACTCAACCCTGCATTCTTTGAGTGAGATGGCAACCATGGTGATGCCCGACAGGAAATGCCATCCCACAGCCCTATGTGCTCATTGCTGCCCCCCACTGCTCACCTCTAACAGGAAGTCCGAGGAGTCGTGCACACACATGACCAGCGTGCCCACGCGCAGCATGTTGTTCACGTATGAGAAGCTGATGAGACTGATGGTGGCCAAGTGGTGAATGAACATGATGAGGAAATCCTAGCGAGAGAAAGAGAGAGGAGTCACCGCGGGTGGAGGGAGGGGAGTGGGAAACTTCTCCTCTGCTGGGCACCTGCGCTCTGAGCCAGCGCTTCTGCGTCACACGTTCACAGCAGTACCAGGTCCAGAAAACACTACCCCCCCCCCCAACTGGGTAAACCCCAAGGGAGAACAAAACCCAACAGAGGTGTCCAGGTGTGGTTTGGCTGGACCTTCGCAGCTAAATTAGCCAGCAGCCATATCACTCTGCAACTCACCACTGGCAGCCCCACTGAAGCTCAGCAGGTGTGAGCCTGGTCAGTACCTGGATGGGAGACCTACTGGGAAAAACTAAGGTTGCTGCTGGAAGAGGTGTTAGTGGGGCCAGCAGGGGGCGCTCACCCTGCGGTCCATGTGGGTCCTAATGCCCCAGTACAGTGACAGGGACACTATACTGCAAATAGACGCCGTCCTTCGGATGAGACGTAAAACCGAGGTCCTGACTCTCTGTGGTCATTAAAAAAGAGTAGGTGTGTAACCCCGGCGTCCTGGCCCAATTTCCCATTGGCCCTTACCAATCATGGCCTCCTAATAATCCCCATCTATGAACTTCATCACCCTGTTCTTCTCCCCACTGATAGCTGGTGTGTGGTGAGTGTTATGGCGCACTATGGCTGCCGACGCATCATCCAGGTGGGGCTGCACATTGGTGGTGGTGGAGGGGAGTCCCCATTACCTGTAAAGAGCTTTGAGTGGAGTGTCCAGAAAAGCGCTATATAAGTGTAAGCAATTATTAATTATAATTAAATTCTAGATCAGTACCCTCAACCATCAACTTTCTGTTTGTACACCTTCATCTCATTTTCCAGCCCCAGAGAACGAAACAAAAAGCTCATTCTTGTTGTTTAAGAGGAACAGCTGTTTCAATAGAGTCAAAACTATAGCTTTTGCACGGGTTAAATATTTTCTTACTATGTGACATGCACAGTTGCCCAGGGGTGGCGGTGTAGCTAACATTACAAGTAAACCAATAAGCTGTCAAATCTAAGTTTTAAGATCATTTAAAATCATGTTGCACATTGCTATGGTAACATTTGCCAAACAGTAACAGATAACAGGTGGCTCTCACATTGAGGAAAAATAAATTGCCTGCAAAGGCTATAATGATTTATTCAGCCATGCCAACAACGCAGACTGTGTGCTCTTTATGAGCTGTTTTATTGGCCCTCAAATCGGCTCTCGGGGCTTAGTCGACCTTAATGACTCGCTAGTTATCTTAACGTTCTGCCTTAATGTCGAAATTAAGAGTGACATCATGTTGTGGCATTAGGACAACTGCCTTACAGAATGCAGGAATTTGGGTTCGACCTGGAGCGCCTGTCTGTATGGAGTTTGCATGTTCCCAATTCTTTGCGTGGCTTTTCTCCAGGTGCGTTGTTTCCTCCCAAAGGCATGCTGGCAATGTTTGACTGGATAAATTGTCCATTTCAAAGGCCTGGCCTCAATGGAATTTTATATCTTGGAGGAGCTTTCAGACACCGAACCAAATGCACATCAAGAACCGAAAGTCCTCATCTCTTCTGCAGCCAGAGGAGTCAGAACGCATTCATACTTCATTCCTGAGCTGCACAAGTTAACAAATCCAAATCTTTCAAAACAGCCTCACCCCAGAAAAGAGAAATTTGCTTTTAAGACGTCTGGGAGGCTCAGAGGAAGAACGCTGAAGTCCTTTGCACCTCCCCCTGCCCCTCAAGGTATATTCCTCCGCGCCGCACTACTTGACTGCACTCAGAACTCGGGCCATCAGAGGTCAGAGGTCACCAGGTTTCATCAGCCCCAGAGTGGAGGAGCCTTTTAACAGATTCCAGCACTGAATCTCGAAATTTGCCAGTTTGTCAGGAGCCTGGGGGAGGGGGGGGTGATCAACCACCATTGCAAGTTCTCCACCATTGCCCATAGGTTTTTCGCAAGGTGCTTCAGTTCTCTCTTGCAGTCTAAAGTCGTGCTGTTGAGACTGGCTCTCCAGTTTCTCAATTCGAGCTCTGAAATACGAGAGATTAAATCTAAACCCACTTCTCAAAACAGACAATGCTCTCTCAGGGGGGCCCGATTTTGCTCTTTGCTGTTAATAGCATCATTAAAATGTTACTGCTTCACCCAATCCCCAAACAAACACATTTGGCTGCACATGAAAATGCAAATGGCCAACCATTGCTGGCTCTTCACCTGCAGCGTCATTACTGCTGCTACTGGGACCAGCTTTACTGAAGAGGAAGAAGGTTCTAATTTCAGACTGAACGCAAGGCTTTCTCCAGAGGCTAATACTACAAGCACTGCGGATTCAAAGGTTTGCACTGAACCCAGGCCTAATGGCTTCAATATGCGAGTAGGAAGTAATTCAGTCCTCCAAAGCTGTCATTTACTTATGCTGCTGGTGTCAGGAAATGGCCTCTGCTTTAGATTTCGGCAGCTCGTGGACAGTGGATTCTTCAAAGGCGAAAGGGAAACGTTTTTAAGAGAGTCATCCTTTACTGAACCTTTATATCCGTGCCCACTGTCAGCAAACTCCCTGGACACAGTACTCGGAAATCAAAGGGTTTTAACGAGCAATTGGCAATCAGAGGTTTGCAAACACCCATGCGCATCAGTACTAAAGCATGAGCTTCTATTTAGCTAATGGCAGATTAATGAACACGGGGGGATTCATCAAAAGGTGCACAATTGCACTCAAACGAACTCTGTCTGCTGCTTTTAATTGCGATCTTCGCTGGAAGCGGTAATTAAGGAGTAGCTAAGTGGTGTGGAGGGGGGCGTCAGCTCGTGTAGCAAAGCCCCAAGAGTCGCCCCCTGGGGCCACGCATGCCCACGGGACCACCTCTCCCCAGCCTGGCAACCTCGCCAGCCACCGAGGAAGATGGGAACAGAGGCGGCCGGAGACCTACCTTCCTCTTGATGTCTGTGAACTGAGAGAACATGAGGGACCAGTAGAAGGCCAGCTCTGTCACGTAGTAATAGTACAGTCCTGGAGAAAGTGCCTGTGGCCAGAGGGAGAGGGACAGGAATGGTGGGTTTAGATTCGCACTGCTTTCCCCCTCTCCACTGCCTGAAGGATCGGTGAGGACGTGGAAGACCTGGGGCGTTTCTAAGCGTGTTCGTCGGAGACTGTCCATTGAGGACCCCCACAACAAAAGCAAGCTCACCACCCCCAAGTCTACTCGTGTGCAGGAACGACACTCACACACCCTGGCTCTGTTCCGAACATTCAGCTCTTTTCTTTTTAGAATTAACAGTTGCATTGCTGGTAACAAACTCTAAAACTTCAGAGTGGGGATTTAATGTTTACATTTTTGGTTCACCGATACGACCATAAATTGAGAACATGGCCCAGAGGACAATACATCGTAGCGCATTTAAAAGCGAGAACAAGAGACGCTTTAGCCAAAAGGTTGTGGGCGTATGGAACAAGCCACTCACATTGAAATGGCTAGATTTGACCCCTTGAACGATTGACTACAGAGAGTGTGTGCTTGTGTCTGTGTGGGCCCTGTGATGGACTGGTGTCCCCTCCATGGTGTAGCCCCCCTTGAGACACTTGCATGCCAGATTAGGCTCCAGCTTTCTTGGTGACCCTAAACTGGAAGTAGTGGTTTAAAAGTGGATGGACGGATGAATTCTGCTGTAAATATACAGAAGTATACACCACACAGATTTACCTGATAGGGGTAATTGTACCAACATTGCCTCGTGTCCCACAGCCAGGGAGACTGCAAGGGAAAAAAAATACATTTAGCCCTTTTTAGCTCCTACAGGAGCCTTCATTCCACGTGACATCATCTACTCCTACAATACTCCTTCTCCCTCATTCAGTAGAATATGCAGCTTAAGACAACCATTTTTTGTTTGTGAAACAAAATCATGCATAAAATGTAACCTAAAATGATGGCCCCCTGTTGCAGTGTCTTAATACTGATGAGAACTACTCAGGCTATAGAGATCCATGGCATCATCTTGTATTTAATGAACCTGAGCCTCTCATTAAACAAAATCATTTGTCCAGCTGAACAATCTTCCTCTTCCTCAGGCGTCCACAGTGTCACAGCCAGTTCAGGTTAGGAGTCCAGTTAAACCGAAAACCTGCAGACCCACCAGACCCCAGGACCAGACTAGTGCATTAGATTGTTGGTTTTAAATGAAACCCCTTACTGGAAGATGCAGACATCCGCGTCTGTCAGGGTTTCAGCACGGTTACAATACCCTCCAGGTAAACTTGCAACGTGATAAACCACGTTTTAATCATTTCAAGAAGTACTGCTCATGCAAAAGAGCTCCAATATCCTCTAAATCCAACCATTAAAGTTGTGTACACAAGTGACAATTTTTTTTTAAAAGTTAACATACTGATAACACAGGACAGACCACAATAATGCAATAAAAAGACAGCAATCAAAACTACAGCCCTACCATTCAACCTATATATTGCAAGAAACTAGACAACCTCTCTTTTAAGACGGTGTATTTCACATCCCAATTCAGCAACACATTCATCTTTTCCAAGACTATTTTCCTGATGATAAAAAGTCCACATACTGCCAATTTGACTTTTTTTACAGAAAAATACAATCCCAAAAGAAAAAACCCGGCAAAATAAGAAACCCATCACTCCTTACTGTGAAGAAGCAAAGAAATACTCTAGCATTGCCTGTGGCTCATCAATGAACTGGCTTCATTACTCTGTTCTCCTCCCCACTGATAGCTGGTGTGTGGTGAGTGTACTGGAGCACTATGGCTGCCGTCGCATCATCCAGGTGGGGCTGCACACTGGTGGTGGTGGAGGGGAGTCCCCATTACCTGTAAAGTGCTTTGAGTGGAGTGTCCAGAAAAGCGCTATATAAGTGTAAGCAATTATTATTATAAATATCCACAGTATTCCAATCCAATTAACACACCCAGAAAACAAAAAGCAAAGATGAGAGAAACAGGGGTCTTCACACTAACTTCAGACCGGTAGTGTTTAATGTTTTGCTTCTCTGAAAGGTAAAACTAGCTGTCAGTGAAATCTGACCATTTAGAGATTCAGGGGAGGGTTTATAGGTGTTGGGAGTATATGCCAAGTTCTATTTGCTCTGCATCCTCTGCCTGTCAATCAAGTGAAGATCAAACAGACGTATCACTTTCTTATCACTTTGACTCCAGAAGTCTAGAAAGGCTGTAAAAAAAAAAAGTCTAACCAATACAAAAGGTCTCTCTAGCATTGCCTGTGGCTCAGCAATAACAATGGAACTTGTTCATATAATATTTTATAACTCATTATTCCTCCCTACCTTTAATTCATGTTTTGGAAGGCTAAGAAAACCATGTCAGGATCTGGCTTTATAAAAGTTTTTTTTTTTAAACAAGATCACAGGTTTTTGTATTTGGTCTATCAGTCTCAGATTTTTAAGTAGTAGATAAATTAGATAAGGCTAATTGGGTACCTACATGTACTTTGAAAAATGACTGTTATTAAGGATATTTATTTTAAATACATGTACTAAGACATAATAAATCTGATGTTTCAAACGTGATGGTTGAACTTCAACCATGCCTGTACCACCTATGCTTTCCAAGATAATTCAAGACGTTCATATCACATCAGTGTTGATGCACATACATTCCAGGTGGACATTACCTCTGGGGGGCTGGGGGGGGTCACTCAAACACTCAATTTACAGGTCATCCTGACAATGAGCTAAGGCCCCAAGGACTGGAGTTCCCTCCCTGGTTAATAGATGAATTAGGACATTAAAAGTGACACCAGCCTCAGAAAAAGAAGATTTAGGGTGACCTCAAAGACTTCCTGAACTGTGGCCCTTCAGGTCCACCTCAGATCCCTTCACTGAGCTTAGTTCTGTTAAGAAATAAGCTGGCTTGTTTGGCTCTCTTTGCTTGCTTGCATGATGTGCTTTTCCCAATAACATTACGATATCCTAATAAGCAACTCTGACAAAGCTTGGCTTCTGCTTTCACAGATGGCAGATCAGTAAACTGGGAACCAGCTTTACTAAATATCAACACAACCTGAGATGTGAGTGAAAGACTTGAAAGCTAATAGTACAACTGCAACCAAATACTCTGCTTTGCCCTGCGCCCATCTGCTTTACTTTGTCAACCACAGAGGGAACACCTGCTAAAGCAGCAACCAACAGAAACAGCCCAAATTTTATTTCATTTCTCATTTTCTCCCCCCCCATCTTGACAGGTGCTAAACTTTGGCGGTACACCTAGTGTATTTGCAAATAATGTAGGTCTGGTTGAATACAACAGCAAACAAGCTCACTCCTGCTGCCATTCAGAATGCAGGACTCACTCACCTGCCAAAGGAATCGAATCCCGTAGGTAAATATGTACAAGTAAAATGTAAACCTCCACCTACAAGCAAAGAGAAGGGGGATGTAGTTAGAGCTGAGGCACCATTAACCAAAAGGCACAAGCACAGCAGGACAAAGAGCTAGTATGCGAATGATCTGGATTTCTAGTTTCAGGGTGATCACATAAGGTCTCGTTCATATTGCTTTCGTTTTCCTCTAATTAAATGTACTCTTCTGTTCAATGTATTCTGTTTCCACTCTGACAGTCATGTCATGTTATGCAACACTTCAAGCTGAATAATCCAGGAGGAACAATTTCCAAAGCCAACAGGCAGGGAAGCATAAACGTGTGACGCAGTGCTCAGAGAGCCCATCTCGTGGTGTAACAGTAATTATCTTCCCCCCCACACATCCTTTACAATCAACCTTAACTTTTCAGAACTTTTGTGATACATTCCAATCTAAGTCACAAATCCTGAGAAATGCAAATAAATACATTTGTAGCAGCATGAGAGGATAAAGACTTCTAATTTTAGAAACTTTTTTTTTTTGAGAGCAACTAGACACAAATGCATTGACGAGAGATCAAAACAAAGCAGGAAGCGAGAAAAAAGACAGAAGTATGAGAAACCACACTTTGAGAAAACTCTATCGGCTAAAAATCCCCTTGAATGAGGTGCGAGGATGCTTTGAAGTGGACCGCCACACTGAAATAAAAATTACCTCCCTCTGCACATGACGTGCCTCCTGCAGTGCATTCCCACACCCCCATTTCCCTGTCATTTGAATATTGAAATGACATACAGGGCCCTTTGCAAACTGCTCACAATCTGGGAATTTCCAGGCCGACTGCGGTTTAACAAACACAAGAGAACTGGTGTAGAACTGGCGCGGCACAAACTCAAAAGCACTCAGAAAGGCTGTGGCCTCGTTTAGCCCATCAGAAGCGTGAGACCACATTGCCAGCACGTCAGACCAGGCCTGCAGTTTAAAGCTCATCTCCTCCGTAAGCGCGGGCCTGGTTCAGAGCCTACTCAAGGCACAAACTTTCAAACCAGGCAGGCTCCCAAAACCCAAACTGACACACCACTTATTAACCCAACACCTGCTTGTCCTTTGTCGCACTGCACAAAAGCAATTTAGGCTTTCACCTGCCAGTCCACTCGGCTGCAGGATTTGGGCACAACCGGCTCATTATGTTTATACAGTATACTTTTAGACATAGGAAGGTAGCTGGACCTGCCAGACCTGCGCTGGAACAGACTGGAAGGAGGACTTTGTGATTGCCTGTGCAGTTTGCACGCTGGCCAAACTGTGCAAGAGGAAGCATCACGTCACCTGTCAGGCATTTCTATAGCCACACCCCCAATTCCAGCACCTCAGATAGGACCCAGCTGCCTCAAATCCACATTTTCAGCGAACGGTTCCCACAACCTGCCCTGGGGCTAAATGCAAGGCTGACCGGACACGTTAAAACTTCTGCTAAAGAGGGCAAATAGTGCAGGGGGTTTTGAAGTCTGCAAGGGACCTACATGCTCTCGCAGAATTTGGTGAGGGTGCTGGGCTTGTCCTGGTTGCGCCGGTGCCGAAACCAGCGCTGGATCCTTCGCACATCCCAGTCCAGCTGTTTGGAGAGGCCATCCAGCCTCCGGGCGTCAGGATACTGCAGTCGGAAAGGAAGGGTGGTGCCGGGGGGAGAGGGAGGGGGTCAAATAACAGACAGCTTTGAGATATAAAGCAGCAAACCCGGAAAAAAGGAGAGAAACTGAGGCTGCAAAGACAGTGCTAAATGAATACACTTTAATAAGTCCTGGCGAATTAATAGGAAATACTAAAATGGAAAATGCAGCCATTAATCTATAGTTACTCATTCACATTAAGTAGCCAGGTGACACAGATCTGGAAAACTCTGGTTTTCTCCCGATTTCAAATTAATCTCAGGCAGGCTGGTGAGCAGCCGTGCTCATTAATATAAAGCTGCTGGGATATACAGCTCACTGCTTGCAGCTGTGAAATTCAAAGTGAACTGATCACCCGGCCCAGTGAATTAACAGAACACGCCACACAAGAGAGCTCCAGGACAGATTCAAAGCATGAGTGAAAACGCCAGTTAGACACAAAGCAAGGAACAGGAAACCAGAGAAAGGGAGCGAAGGGAAGAGGAACAACAAGACACAATCAGGTAATGTGGCTTCTCTCCTACCTTTGTTATAGATGTAAACACTTTTTCTAGAATGGCGTTGGGCTGAGCTCTCCTGGTGATCTCTGCCTGTATCCTCAGGAGGTAGGCGCACGGGCGGGCCACAAACCTGTGGGGAGACAGGGGCTTTACAGGGGGCTACCTATTCGATGTCACCCCTGTTCTCTCTTCTCCAGTACCACCTGCCTCTCGCTGGCACCCCACCCGCCTCTCGCTGGCACCCCACCCGCCTCTCGCTGGCACCCCACCCGCCTCTCACCTGTGAGCCCCTCTGCTGCTGGCACCCCACCTGCCTCTTGCTGGCACCCATCCTGCCTCTCGCCTGTGAGCCGCTCGGCCGCTGGCGCCCCACCTCACCAGTTACACTCCTTTAACATACTTCCTGAATTATACAAGTTCCAGCACAGCATTTCACAAACTAAAAATTTTAACTACAAATAAAATACTT